GGTGCTGCCCCTCCTGCCGGTGACACCCGCCACCCGGCCGTGTTCCCGTGGCCCCCCCTGAAGGCAGGGCCTGGGACAGCGGCCCCTGTGCGGCAGGAAGACCCGCGAGACCTCGGCCACGGAAGACGCAGACTGCAGGGCACTGGCTCCAAGCGTGGTGGGCAGAGGGCACCTGTGGGAAGTGCGGCCCCCAGGGCCCAAGGCCACGCACTGGACCAGGGCAGAGTGAGCTGGGCCCGGTGGTTCTGATCCAGGGGCAGCAGACCCTTTGGGAAGCCTGGTCCGGACCACGCAGAACTCTGAGGTGTGACCTGGTCCCCGGGGACCCCGTGCGAAGTGCTGAGCACTCGCGAGGTCCCCACCACGGTCAGGCCAAGGCCTGGCTGGGAAGCGAGGACCCCGAGGGGGTGAAGGTGCTGTCCCGGCCCCCACTGCCCGACAGAGGACAGTCCCAGGCCAGACGGGGCAGTGACCGGCGGCAACTCCGGCAGAATGAAGCCCGGCGCCCGGGAGCAGCTCCGCCCGCACACGGCAGGCAGGCCCTGGGCCCACGGGAGAGGGGCTGTGGTTCCCAAGAGGGCGGGGACCGTCCCACCCAGGCGCACTTCCTGCCGCTCGCCCCTCCCCCACTCTGCCGAGGCCACACCTGTGACCTAATCTCCACCAAAACGTGCACCCAGGACACTCTGGCTGAAGAACTGTCCTGGGGCCGGACTCTCTGTCCCTGTCGCTCGAGGCTGGAGACCCAGGTGAGGTGGCCGCCTTCCCTGCCGCCCGGCTCCCTCTCCTTCCTGACGACCCTCCTTCCAGGAACGACCACAACTGCCCTGCAGGCGTCCCAGACTCTTAGCGAAAGATCTGAGAGTTACTGCCAGTGTCCCAGACAGGCCTGCCGGCCGGAGCCCCCAAGCAAGGCACTGGGCCAGCCCACACTCCAGGTCTCCCCGCGTCTGTCTGGCACCCCACCCGCCAACGTCTGCGAACGGAGGGAGAGACAAGCACAGGCGTCTGCTCCGTGCGAGTGAGCAGCTGTCGGCTGAGCTGTGTGGAGGCAGAACTTTCGCTACAGGGACCGCACGGGTCAGCGGCAGCCGTGGTCCACCCACCAGGCCTCCTGCTCAGAGAAGGTGCTGGGCTGACTGGAGGTGAGGCACCCGCCATCCCTGAGCAACCCCACATCCTGAGCGGACCCTCAGCTCCTGGAGGCCACCCCAGAGAGGGAGCCACCGGCGGCCCAAGGGGCACCGAGAGCAGGAGGGGGAGACTGAGGACCCAGCTCACCAGTGAACTGGACAGATCACCCCCTCCGCCCCCCATTTCCGATCACCACCCTTCCCGGGCCCTTTCTGCAGTGCCCCAATGAAGGGTCCTCCGAATTAACTGGTCCTGAGGGTGACGGCCAACAGCTGTGCGGGAAGGGCTGCAGTGAGCGGCACCACCACGGACATTCTCACCGGCAACGTCTGGCCCCTCTGGGAGCGAGGCCCGAGGCAGGCCCCTCAGAGTCTGTGACTCGTCCCCTTCCCGTCTCCTGCGGACACGCCCGCCACGTCCCCAGCTGAGGCGCCATCCAGGGGTCTGAGTTCACAACTAGATGACAGTTCTCCCCACACACGGCTGCGGGCTGGGCACCTGCCTTTCCGAGGCCACGGCCCAGCAGGGCATCCCTGGCGGCCTCATGCCGGACGCCTGCCCCCTCAGTGGCCGACGGCGCCGGGCAGGGTCCGAATCCAGGCGATGCCGGTGGAGTGTGTTCAGGCAAGTTTCTTAACCTCTCCAAACCCTGGTTTCTTTATTGGTAAAGTGCAGACTCTACCGTCCAGCTCCCTCGGGACGAGGCTCCGATGAGAACCCGGGGACTTGTCGGCACACGGCCGGCCCTCCACCAAAGGGCTGGCTGCCGTGTTTTCTGAGCTGCTCAGCGAGGCGACTGTGCACTGGGGGCATCAGAAGGGGGACCTCGCACCCTTATGAGCTCGGTGACGTGGCAGCTCCTTCACCTGCCTGTGCCTCAGTTTTCCCTCCACGAACAGAAATACCAACGTACCCCGTTCATCACGTCCACGCAGGGCCAGCGGTGCATGGGATCATCGTCATCGCTGCCGGACACGGTGAGTACACGTGGAAGGTGTGGCCAGCGTGTGGCCCTGCCATCGGGGCTGCACTGTGCTTGATCAACAAGGGCCAGCGCTGGCGTTAGCCTCTGCAGAAATGCTCACGGACAGACGGCCACAGGACACAGGACACCCGCTGTGCCCTGCCCACTGCTCTGCCCGCCGTCCACACACGAGGGCAACAGGGACTCGGGACCCACGAGCTTCACGGCGCTGAACGCAGGCTCCACGCGATACGCCGGCTTCGATTCCTCCTGGACGTGTTCCTCCAACCAGCTTATTCCTGTTCGGTTAAACGTCACGAGCCAGCTCCGACTTCGTCGCTCATTCCTGATTTTCTGCCCCGTGACCTGAGTTCTTAGACAGGACTGTCCGAAAAGCACCGAGCGCCTCTTGGGCATCCACGGGGCTGCCTGGGCAGCACCTCCCTGCAGTCCCGAGTCACCAGAACTGGTCATGAGCTCGGGAAAGCGACCTCCCTGCAGCCTGTGGGTCCCAAGCGCGTTGCATTAAGGCAAACTCAGAAACAGCGGGCGCAGGGTGGTGGGCCCTGCCCTCCTGCAGAGCAAATGTGGCCAGAGAGCAGGTGCACCCCCAGGAGACGTCCCCCAGAGGCACGTGTCTGCAAGGCAAGGCCTTTCCCCATAAGACGACTCTTGTTCCGGGGAACGAACAGGGTCGAAACACCAAGCAGAACCTTAGATCAGCTAAGTTGGACCCGGCAGTGGAGAAATTAGATTCCGCTGGCCCAGAGGGACTTTCCAGGCCTCCCCGGTGAGGCCCAGCAGCTGAGACCGCCCTCTTCATGAGCAGAGGGGAGGACAAGCCATCAGACCCGCGCTGGCAAGAGGGAGACCCCCCCCCCCCATCATCTCTGTCATCTCGCCAGAAGCCTATCTGAGAGAACAGAGGGTCGTCTGTGTCTGTGAGCTCGGAGCCTGTCCTTCCGGAAATCATCTGCCTGCTGATCAAGGCTTCGAGCATCATGATTCCCGCCGGGGGTCTCCTGCCAGCACCAAGGCTGGTCCGAGGTAAAGGAGACACAAAAGGAGACAATATTTGCTAATATTTCCGTCGGATGGGAAACTGGGGAATCAGCCCTGCAGGTGAGCGCAGACCCCCCATTAAGTAATTAACACAAAGGGGAAGTTTGGCGGAAAGAATACAAACTGGCTGGTTTTTACATAACACCCAAGAGGACACAAGCAGCACATTAACAATAATGGTTGGATTTTCAAATCCACTGTCCAGATCATTATATATCTGTAGACATCTCATAAACGCTTGATGAAATTTGAAGGAAACTCTGAAAACAATATAAATAGTGTTGGACTGTTTCCTAACCTGAAGTCCCAGCAGCCATCAAACCAGGCAGCCTCAGGGCCAACCTCACTTCCTCCGGCATCGCTCGGCCGCCCAGCAGATGTTCGGGTCCGAGCACCGAACACTATCGTCTCTGCCACAATCATCTCATGGGCTGAGCCTGTCTGCCCACTGCAGACTGTCCCCATCAGACCCCACAGCAGTCACTACTTTCAATGTTTATTCCAAACGTAGAAAAGCAGAGTAAGAAGAGGGAAAGGTGTTCTGTTTCCCGAATGCGCCCAGACCCACTGGAAGTTCTCCGGGTCCTTGTTCCCACCGAGTAACACAAACCTTTACTGAAGCAGGGTCGGGGGTTTTCCTGCACCGGGGAGCTCAGGGCCCTTTCTGGGGTGTAATTAAATACTCGGGATGAATTTCCTCCCTAGTAAAGAAAAACATGCAAGAAAGGGCATTTCTCTCATGCGTATGCCCAGGGCTGCCCAGACGGAGGTCATTCCCACCCGCCTTCCACGACTCCGGATCCGGGCAGAAATCCAGAGGGGCCTCCAGATCGGAATGGCTCAGTGAGCTTTTCAATAACACCAACAAGCACAAACCACCCGGCAGATCCAGAAAGTCCATGCAACTCTAACATTTAAAATATGTCAGAAAACAGCGACGGGCAGAGGGGAGAGAGCCTGGCTGGGCAAGGACAGTGCTGGTGTGAGCAGCTCAGTGCCAGATCACAGGGGCCCACGAAGAGGGTCTCAGGCTGAGACAGACAGACCCCTGCTGCTGGGGCCCGGGCTGGCCAGTGGGGAGCGGGCCCAGGGGCACTGACATCTCTGCCTGAACTGACCCCCTCTTTCCAAGGTCTCTATGTCCAGGTACCAGATGTTTGGGGCCACAGGGAACATTTCGCTGTGGCCCCGGAAGGGCCCCACCCGCAACCTCAGTGTTCATGGATTCACACAGAGCTCTGGGCACTGGGCACGGGGCTGCGGACCCCCACTTCCCACCCTCCAAGGCAACAGTCTCACAGCAGAAGCACCGCAAACGCCTCCTGGGGAAACACTCACCAGGACCCGGGGCGCCAAAGCAAGGGGCCCGCAGGGAGACGAGCCAGGCCCTGGGGACGGGGGGCACCAGGGAGACGAGCCAGGCCCTGGGGACGGGGGGCATCGGGAGATGAGCCGGTGCTGGGAACCAAAGGTCAGCTGGAGAGCTCAGGGCAGAAACTTCCCTGGGGCGCGAGTGAGGTGCGTAGCCTCCAGGGAGAGCCCCGAATCCCAGGGCAGGTGCGGCGGAGGGAGGGTAGGCGAGGAGGACCCGGGCGGCGGCGGGACCGCTCCCCGCGGCGGCGGCAGCCAGTCTCAGACCCCCGCGGCTCCCTCTGCGCGGAGGGTCGCAGGAAGAGGTCTCGCTCGCTCCCACGGGGCACATCCCAGGCACCGAGCCGGGAGGAGACCTGGAATCCAGGCCTCGGCGGGGGCGGTGGCGCAAACAAAGTTGGGGCGCAGAGACACTCGGTTGGTGGGTCCCCGAGTCCGCGCGCCCCCGCCCGCGATGCGCCCTACTTACACGAAGATCCCGAAGAGTAGGGCTCGGACCCCGATCTCGATGGCCAGCTCACGCATGGTGCAGCCGGAGCGGATGCGCTGAAGGCGGCTGGTGCTCTGGCTCACCAGACCCGGGGCGGGGAGGGAGGGCGCTCCAGGCCGTGGGCGGGGGCGGGAGGCGGTCGCTGGGCGGGGGCGGTGGCAGCGGGGAGGGCTGAACGCAAACCTCCGCCTGGGGCCCCGGAGCTGGGGACGCAGCGGCAGCAGCTCCAGTCCCGCGTCCCTGCGCCAAGCGGGTGGCGCCTCGGGGACTCCCCGTTCCAGCGCCGAGCGCCGCCTGCGCGGTCAGGGGAAGTCCCGCCACCGCCGCCCTGCGCGCTCCCCGGCTCCCCGCCAGTGGGCGGCCCCTGGGCAGCGCGCTCGCGGGTCCTCGCCGGGGTCCCGCTGCGTCGTCCTGCGCCCGGGCTCCCGCTCGCTGGTGCAGCACGTGGGCATGTACTACAGGGCGCTCGGGATCTCCGGAGCTCCCGCTGTTCTGCCCAGCAGTGCTCCTCCCTGCACCTTCCAACCTGAATTCTCTTTTCTAGGAAGTTTCCCCTGGAGCACTCGCAGGCTTCATTTTGCCTCAGGAAGTGCCCACCAGGTCCCAGAGCCCTGGCACAGAGGAGCTGCCTCGCCAGAGGCCACCAGCGCCAGGCGGCCCCTGCGGGAGGGACAGCATAGTCCAGCCTCTCTGTGTCTCACGAAGAATTTATCACTGAAGGCTGGTCCCTCCTAAGGACAGATGCGCTCTGCTCCCCATGAAGGGACTGACGACGGCCTGGCTGGCATCACAAATCCCACAAAGCAGAGGGTTTGGAGGTGCCGGTCCAGCAGGCGTCCAGCGCTGAACTTGTAGCAGATTTCAGAAGCCCCAGGAGCGCCCGGTTCCCGTGATGAGCGGGGACAGTGGAGGGGCAGGGAAGGCAAGACCCGCGGAGCGATCCCGGTGCAGCGCCCAGGGGCCCAGCCTGGAGCCGCTGCTGGGTGCGCATGGCTCCCATGGAGTGCGATGTGTTCTGGGGCGAAGGGAGCGTGGCAGAGGTGCTGGGGTCACACACACGGCCCCTCGGCGGAACATGCCGCCCACGCTGTCCAGTGTGTGACTGGCCTCCCAGTGCGGCCGAGTCTGCACGAGTCTTCATTGTGCCACTTTGTGAAAATCTCTCCCATTTCATGCCAGCCTCACCGCATGTCAAGAAAATCACCTGCATCCCTCCACAGTCCTGCCTCTCCTGCTGGGTTCGTTAAACCCCCAAACAGTACTGTCCAGTAGGGTTGCTCCCATGTTGACCAGACTTTCGCTATTTTCAAAAATCAAAGCCACCTCTGGAGAAACCACTTTGCAACAATTTCTCATATTCTCGTTTCCAAAGGTTACACTTGGTGTCTCAAGGGCCCCTCCCTGGCTGTTCCAACCAGTATGGCCGCAGGCGGTCGGCGCCGTGAGCCATACCTCCAGGGACCCGTGTCCCGGCTTCCCAGGGCTACCTGGTGAGAACTTGCTGATATGCCTAAAACGCCAAGGGTCGCGAGGAGTTTCGGAAGAGATCATCACGTCGGCCTGGTGTGTGAGTATCTCCCATGATGGTCACGGAACGTATGTCTTCTCGAACACCTCCAGGGCTGCGGAACTTACTGTTCATCGCATTTCCGGAGAGATCTGTTGCTGTTTGAGAAGAGACAGACTTGCCTGCAGCCTACATCCATAGTCCGAGTGGTGCCGTGTGGGCCACGCGGATCCTCCGTCACCCTTCAAACCCGGAGGACAGAGCAGGAGCGGAGTAAAGCCGCAAGCGGAGGTCGGTTACTGGCCCTGGTCGGCTTGGCTCAGCAGTTAGCGCATCAGCCCGTGGACTGGACAGTCCCGGGTTCGGTTCCTGCTAAGGGCACAGTGGCAGTTTGTCCCCAGGCCCCGGTTGGGGTTGTGTGGGTGGCAGCCAGGCAATGTGTCCCTTTCACATTGATTTCTCTCTCTCTTCCTCCCTCTCTCCCTCCCACTCTGAGGATAAATGCAAATAAATTAAATAAATAAATAAATAAATAAAAATAAAGGCAGTTACTGTTACCAGAAGAAGGACATTGGGAAAGCAAATTCCAGCTGCCCACCACGTAGATCTCACGAGAAGGGAATGGCCATTAGAACAGAACCTGTTTCACAGTCATGACTGTGTCTCAGACAAAAGCACCTGGCACAGAACAGGTGCTCAGTAAATATGACTCCTTGTCCTATGAACAAATAAATGAGTGAACCGCAAGCATCGGGAAACCCTGGTGACCACGGCGTCATGTGACTCTGTCCTCTGTCCAAACAAGGTTTCAGGGAAGAGAGGAGTCTCCAGCCACCCACAGCCTGCTCAGCCCAAACCTCCTGTCGGAAAGTCCATTTGCATGTTGAGTTGGACACAGACCACCCGTGTCATTTCCTGTCGTGGTGCAGGTGGCGCTGATGAGCTTCACACGCTCACATATATACATCTTGAAGCCCAGCTTCTAAAGACATCTTTCCATTCCTTATTCTCCCTCAAAGAGATTACGAAAGACCTACCGCGGGGTAAAATGTGTTTAGATGAGCGACAGATGGATCTCCGTACACCTTCGCACTCTGGCCGCTGACCACTGCCGGTGACCACAGACAGGCCTCTGGGCTCCAAGGCCCTGGGTACGCAGCCCTTTCAGACACGGCGTCGAGCCGCCTCCCTCCTGCCCCGTATCTGACTTCCTGCGGCCGACGTCCCCAAACACGACTCCCAAGGTTATGGAGCCGTCCAACCACGGTGCATGTACAATGTCGGATGTCAGGGAGCACAGAAAACCCCATACACTGCGAAGTTGGGGGTATTTTTCTGATAAGAGGATGCGTACTATTTACCCGACTCCCAGAACACGATGCACAGACACGGAGAATGACGAGAGGTGGCTGAGAGCAGGATGAGACTGGAGGTCAGACCCACCGACGCCCAACGAGGCCGAGACACGCGGTGCCGAAGGGGCCACTGGGACCTCCCGGGTACGTCCGTCACTGTGGTCCTGGTCTGGGTTCAGACAGTTTGGGGTTTGTTCTGTCTTTGAGACCTGACTGAATCCTGCTTGACAAATGTCTCCCAGGGGCCCCGCACTGTCGACGGGTGTGTGGGAGACGCAGGAGGCACCGAGGCGCAGGGGTCTGGGAGGGGCAAGGCCACACCCCCAAAGCAAGCGTCTCAGGACGGAGAGCCGGGTCCACAGTACAGACCCTGGTGGGACGTTGAGGCTGACCCCTCGGACCGTCCGTCAGCTGCAGAATAGCAGTCTGTTCCAGAGGGGCCCCGCCTGCCTCGGCCCCCAGGGAGTGTGTCCATGACCAGGAACGTCAGGCAGGGCACAGTGATGTCACCAGGGCCAGGCTGGCCCCGTTCCCACTTCACCTGAAGCTCAACTCCCATTTATTTTATTATTTTTTAAATGTTTTTATTTTTAGAGAGTGAGCAAGGGAGAGGGAGATAGAGAAACATCAATTGGCCGCGTCTTGCACACCCCCTGCTGGGGCATGAGCTCACAGCCTGGGCACGCGCCCTGGCCAGGGATCGAACCCGTGACCCCATGGTCCATGGGTTGATGCTCAGCCACGGAGCCCCCACCGCCCAGGCTCATGTCCTAGTTAATTCACAGGTCTGTTTATAACTTCCCAGAACACAGTGTTTCTGACAGTTGAGTAATGAGTGCTATTCACTAGATGTCCTCCCCTCGTCGAGGGAAAGGTGCTAATGAGAAGGTGCACCGTCCCCCCCGCCGTGTCCAGACAGTCAAGGGACAGCCCTCCCTCCCTTCCGAGTCCACAGTCACTAGAACCAACCACAACCAGCACCTTTAATCTACGCTGAGGAAAAGCAAAGTAGAGATGAGAACAGCCCAGGTTTGCTCCAGTTCGTCCTGGAGGTGAGGCGGAGGGTTAATGACAGGCCCAGGCCCGGCCCCTGTCCGGCGGTCAGGCAACCCTTCAGTCACTGCGAGCCGTCTCCGAAGCGGGGCTCCTGGGGCAGGGTGGGGAGGTGAGGGGTCCGCACGGGCCACGGACACAGGCACCCGGAGGCACCGACCCACACTGGCAACAGTGTGCGGTTTGTACGGCAAACACGTCAGGCTCAAAGATTCACTGGTGACGATAAGATGGGGGAAGCTGGACAATCTGCAGGGACAGATGCTGCGTATTCAACACATGAACCGATTGTTATGAAACAGGGAACAGAGTTGTACATGATTCCTCACCAATTTTATCCACATTATGTGCACAGACAAAATGACACCCTGTTTTGGGAAGAGAACGTCCCTCGTTGTCCGTCTGTCCTCATCTGTGCCATGGGGAACAGTGAATGAATTTGCGGGGTGATGGAGGAAAACCACACACTTTGCATTTAGGGCCATCGGGGGTTTGAACCCCAATTCTACCCCCTCCTTCACTGTGTGACCTTGGGCAAGTGACCTAACGTCTCTGCGCTCTGGTCTATGAAGTGGAGATGCAGCGGCAGCCTGGGCCCTGAGGTGTAGCAGCCCAGCTGAGTCCCATGCGTGGCCGGCGCTGGGACAGGGAGCAGCCCGCGTCTGGCCTGCGGGAGGGAGGGGCCGTGGGCTGGCTGCTGGCCAGGATGTGCCTGTTCCAACCTGGCTCAGCGTCCGGGGCTGCAGCCAAATGGGTGTTGTTTTAAGTGTTTCAACCACTTTAAAAACTGTGAAGACGAAGTGCACCTGCGCATCACACCCAGCACGTCCACGATGTCCAGCGTGGCAGCGCCGACCCCCCAGGACGGGGAGGGGAGCGCTGCGCCCGGCACCGGCTGTGTCGGGGATTCTGCTCTGACGTGTCTTGGCGTCCAGTGCGCAGACGGACACATCCCTGTCGCATCGTCACAGCCAGCGGTGCCCGGCGGGTGTGCGTTCGGGGTTCACACCTGCGGACCGAGGGGTGGCCCAGGGCCCTGCGGGCTGGAGGCAGCACTCGTTTCTCTCAGAAAGTCCTGCAGCTTCCTCCTGACGGAGATTCTGGGGTGAAAGCAGCGCAG